ATGGTCGATTTGTACGTTTGCGTTTGTTTCCTTTGATCAAGTTGAATGGTAGAAAAGCATATTAAATGTAAAATATAAATCGACGACAGGAAGTTTGTAGAATATTTCATATTATGTGGAAAAATCAGTTTGCAAACTAAAGAAAATGAAAAGGGATGGATATTTGACTTTGTAGAAATTCCATCCAACGTATAGTTACGTATATGATATACGCTTTCCCCTTTATCGATTCGCTCCAAATTCCTTTGGACGTGTTAACCCGCGCGCGATACGAAGAATGTAGAGCAGAAACTTTGTAAAACCGTACTTTTAAAAAAGAGACATTGAAAGAAAAGAAGAAAAAGACTAAGAAGATAGAAAGAGACAGCTAAACTATAGGATGGATCGTTCCGAGTAATTAATCGTGAAATGTCTGCCGCTTTTTCTCTTGGATTTAAATCGCAAAGCGTGGAATTAACGCGGACTTGGCCCCGCTCAACTCGTTTCTCTTTCCAAATGCTTTTACGTACATCGATTTTTACTCTCCTTCTTACAATTATTTACATACATTCAATATATGTGTTGTATCATTTTATTTATATAGGAAATGTGATATTAGGGACGATTTTAATTAAGGAGATTATTTGAGATTACGTTACGGGCGCGTAGTAGAACCAGGTAGATCGACGCACCTGCTATGACCAGAACTAATTACACGAGTCTCTTTGATAATTAAGCTTCGCTCAATGGGTTACTCCCTTCATTTCTAATAATCCCTATAATCAATCATTCAATTAACTTAAAAATTGTCTCATTTGTTTCTTAGTTAATTACATTAAATTCCCATAACTTTTCTAATATAAGTTTTGCACTTAAAATTGACTCACACTCTTTGGCAAGTCAAATTTGCTCTTTTGCAAGTCAATTTCAAGTTCTTACACTAGAATTGGACTTACAAAAAGGTCAGCTTAAAGTGCACAAAACTTATGTTAATCGAATCTGCCAAAGATGACAGATAAAGAAGTTGTGATATTTGGTTTTCAGTATTTAACCGACGAACGAACGTACGAACGAACGAACGAACGAACGAACGAATTGAATTTCGTTAAAATGCGATTGCAATTGTTTGGAAATTAGGTCTAGATTGAAGTATCGCGTCATCATATGTTGCAATTAACGTATTGCTTTAAAAAGAGCGAAGAATACTGAGCTCAACTCCTTGGGGAATAACAGAGCATATTAAATACAGGTCAGAACTGTTGTCTCGAGTTTTAACTTTAAAAACATACTAAAATAAGAATAGAAGTTCATATATAAATATTACATGTATTCGATATGACCTGCTTTTCGAGTTACACTTTATTTGTACCCTTTCTTTTGTTTTCAACATTAACAGGAGCTACTTATTACAATTTATGAACTAAATAAATGAAGTATTCTCTAGTATACTCTATTGTATGAAAGTTTTTTAAATTAACAATTCCTATTCTGAAATTTTGAATAGATCACAAAATTGATGTATGAACGATCTAATCAAATAAATAGGAATAATTGTAATATGTATTATTACACGAAATTCTAATGAAAAAAGAAAGAATAGAAAATAGAGCTATCAGACCTTTTATTTCCTGTGCATTAAATCGAATCCGATCGAGTATCGATTGAGGAAAAACGAACGATGGTAATTTAGCTCGAAGTTCTTTTCCAGCTGTGAAAAAATGAAAGGAAAGTGGGTTGGAACTCATTGCAGATCTCTTCTTAATGACAATCTAAGACATTTCGAAACTTTCTTTCGTTGTCAATCTAATTGTATTTCTAATTTCTTTTTCAGCAACGTGTACGATTTGATGGGATTATTTTCCATATGATATTTTTTACTTCTTATTTGATTTAGTTTGCGTTACGTAAATTGGATAATTTCGGTAAATTCTTTTTATCCGAATTCGTAAACTATAGATACGCGACACTTTCATAAGAGAGAGAGAGAGAGAGAGAGAGAGAGAGAGAGAGAGAGAAAGAGAGAGAGAGCGAGCGGTTCGATAGCTCGCGTAAAAACATTACAGGCAAGCTGCGCTTTTCGTGCTAATGAATATTCCACTGCATATTTCTCCATTTCTTTCTATTTTTCCCCCTTTTTTTTCCTTTTTCCTTTTTTCCTTTTTTTAATTATATTTTGTAATGTGTTTTTCGTCGACATAAAGGTAGTACATATAACGTAGATACAAATTCCTATCTCCCTCCGAGAGCTTTCATTTTGTTATTAATTTCAATTGCATTTATGCACATAAATATAATACATGCGTACGCGTATAACCAGTCACAGAAGCTTTTAAAACTTTTTTTAAATTCATCAACTTTTATTCGATTCACGGCAAACAAAAATGTTTATAAATGATTACTAAAATGTTAAATAATTGTTGTCTAAGGTTTTTCATTTTATTTATAGATAACACCTATTACGTTGGTAAGATAAAAGTTATTATATATATATATATATATAGATATATATATAGATATATATAAATGAAGGAGAGATTTTGGAATGTTTGTGAAACCGACTGTACGTTTTTCTATATAATAAAGACATAAGAATGTAATTTTGTACAACTCTCTTCCTTTTTCTATTTTTCTTTGTTTGCCTGCAGCTTGTCTTTCATACTTTTAATTAGGTACTAAATTTGTTATCGTGCCAACACTCGTGACCCATTCTTGCATTAACTATAAAAATAGTTTGTTAAAACGCGTATGCAAGTTGAATTTTAAATTTTCCTACAACTGGATAGCGACAATAAAAATTCAACAAATTTAATTAGTCATGATTCTATTAATGTTCTTTCTTTCTCTTCCAACTTTCCGTTTGTTGGCCATTTATTGTTATCATTTCCCATCAACAGAATGTTTGTTATTTTAATTAACTTTTTATTATCTTTATTATTTTAAATATAAAATAAAAAATTATATAAATTGTATTATATTTTATTATAAAATTTAATATGAAAATAATGAAAAATTTGATCAATAACATGATACGATCAAATGTACAGATTATATTTATTATACAGGATGTCGTCCTGTAACAGGTGCTACAAGTGAGCAGAATTGTACAAAATTTCAATAAAAACTTCAATTCAAGATGGTCCTGATTGTTTCGTTATTATATTTCTGGCTCACCTAATGATAGGGAAAAAAAGAAAAAGAGAGAAAGACAAGTACATTTCTCTTGGGATTATTTGACTTGGTGGAAATCGGCAGATTTATCTTCCCAGCGATAGTTTCTCATTCGGTCCTGTTCGATCGAATAGCCGATTAGTGCAATTTTCTTTTTTCTTTTTTCTTCAGACCAGCTGACTGTGCAGTAATTAACACTAGCCTCGATTACACTAAAACCCGAGGAAATGCATTTCCCAGTCTCCTATCTCCTCCTATCTCCTCCTATCTCTATTCTTTTTCACACGACTCCCACTCACGTCAGATTTATTTCTGATACTCAGCAGAGAGAGAGAGAGAGAGTCTCATCTTTGTCAACTTTTCTTTCCATTCTTTTTTCATAAGCTTTTCCCGAAATGTCAGTAGAACGAACTATTAAACTATTTTATGAGCGTAATTTTGGAACAGTTGTTTTTTTTCTACAATACAAAAGTTTGATTGATTTGAATTTATTTGTTGTTCTGGTAATTTGGTCGAATTGCATCGGTGGATTTATGCGTCGCACCGAAGCTGCTTGCTTACTTCATCCGTAATTGCGTCCTTAGATTCGCTCGCGGCATTTTACAATTCGCATTAATCACGGCTCTCTCGCAAGATTCCAAGTGAAAATATACGGCCCGGAAACAAGAGAGTACGCCGCCATTCGTTAAGACGTTTAATTTTATATGACTCTCCATGGCGGTGCTTACCTTCTTTTTCTTTTTCCCCTTTTCCCTTTTCCCTTTTCCCTTTTTCCCTATCTATCTATCTCTCGCGAGCGCGCTCGTTGACGTTATTTATTTTCTTACGAGACAGAGCAAAAACCATTTCTCTCTTTGGTAAGAAAGCTAAAGCAGAATGTTACCAACAATTAATATCCTATTTTTATGCAAAACCTACCATTTCGTTTTCATTGCCTTCTAGGTACTTCATTTTGATAGCGGTCATATTATTTTCCTTTTTTGCATTTTTCTAAATTACATCATTTAAAAAATGTATTTTAACTTCAATTGTTTTTGTAGTCAACGTAACGCAACGTCGTCATCTGCATACCTTCCGACAGAAAAGATGATTCAATCGTGTTTTATCCGTGGTCGCTTTGTTCTGCCATTCTGCTGGCTCTTCGAATGAAAAGGAGACTTTGCTTGTAGGGCTTTGCTCAGTCAGCCTTCTCAGCATCATTAGCGATTTTCAAACGACGTTTATTAATATTGCCAAAGATAAGCTGGATCAGACTTAATTAATATTTTCTTCTGTTAACACTTCCTATATTGTGTTTATTGTCGTGGTTATTATGGTAAAAGACGTTAAAGTATTTCAAATATCTTCTGCAAATGTATGCTATATATTTGTACAAATAGTTTTCAAGAGGAAATCATTAAAGACGTTCATTTTGATAGCGATCATAGTGATCAGCAATGATTTTATTAGAACGATTACAACGAGGTAAGATAATCTACAAGTTTTCTTTCTTTTCCCTTTTTTTTATTTGAAAGGGTATAGAGGGTAAAGAAGACATATGCACAGGAAATAAATCAAACATTCACGTGTTTCGTCGTCTCATTTGCGATTGACACACATACATAAATCCTCCCAATGGAATTCTATAAAAAAGTTTGTTTATTTCCTATATATATATATATATATATATATATATATATATATATATACCGTGATCCTTTTTTTTTTTGTAATTTTATTCTCTTCATTAATTTGGTACGTATTGGCTGGAGTTTCGATATTTTTCATTTACGATATTACGATAAAGTTCTATTTTACGAATAACTTCTTACTTCTTAAACATGTATGTGTATACGCGAGGACGTATTTGTGTGTATGTGAAAATTTCTCTATTTGTCTGTATTTCTGTTAATGTCTGCTGCGCGTGTGTATGTATATATACAGGTATTTTATGTAATATTAAAATGTGATTTTTATTCATGTATTTCTGTGTCTGTACGTATACATATATGTATGTGTGATTGTATATTTATATACAACAAATGTTGCGGCAAAAAATTCTTAGCAAGAAATACTATAACGATAATGGGATTTTTTGCTAAGATTTTTTCGTCAAACAATCTACCGACAATCTTCCTTTTCCACCAATGTTTACGTGGAAGAACGTACGTGCTGTTCTATTTCTCTCTCTCTCTCTCTCTCTCTCTCTCTCTCTTTCTTACACCCCCGTCCACTCCATGGTCCCATCGGTTGAACGAAAAAATGTCTAACAAAATTGAAGAGTTCAACGTAACGATTATAATCAAAATACAAATGAGTTATTTCTATTGACCATTCTCTTGAGCAATTTATTTATTTCTTTGATACTTTGAATTGTGATACTGGAAAATAGAATGAAAAAGAAACTACTAAATCGTCGTCCTTTGAAGTGAAACGTTCAAGTGAAAGTTGTAACTTTGTTGAATAAACTTTCAGCTTTCTTAGAGAGAAATTTCGGAGAAAAACGATCTCTCTTATGCATATGTTGCTGTCACCGCCGCATGCACGTGATTCTTCTTTTACAACCCTAGCAAATATTGTATTTCTTTATAAGGTTTTCTTAACAACCCGTACGGGTTGTATTCGTATTCGCGGTAGCTTTGAGCTACGCGTCAATTATTTATTTCACGATCGATTTGATATGTACACAATGTATAATTCGTATTTACAATCGGGGTAATATCCTCCCTTATCGTTAAACTCTTTTTTTTTTTTTTTTTATTTTTCCTTCGCGAATGCTCTCGATAAACCATTCGGCTAATTTATTCAAACTTTCATATTAATATTAATTATCGCAACAAAGTTGTTATCTATTGTTAATACTAAAATGAATGTCTATTAAATTTTCCTTTGACGCATTGGCGTCAAATTCACGTCTAATTCGCGTCTAATTCACGTCTAATTCGCGACAATAAACAAGAATATACACGTACAGGGTGTCTCGCGTGAAATTTCACACGCAATTATTTTCCAAATTATTCAATAATTTCATTTTAAATAACGTCCAATCCTTCGAATCAATGATTTAAATTTGATCAAATGAATATTTGAACGAGCAGTAACCCATTATACACGGCAATCTAATTATTTCTATTATTTAAGTTAATAATTTGAAATAAATATTCTTATGTGACACGCTGTATATGTAAATCTTGATGTTTAACGAAATAATTGGGTTATCAATTTTGTAGAGAATTAAATGGTTTCGTGAACGGCCTACATTTCGAATGAAATACATCGTAATAATAAATAATTGGAATGTTGTTGGATCAACAATATTCGTTAGTCGAATCATTTTTTGTCTTTGTTGAATGTTGTAAAAATAGCACTCGCAAAGGCTAGAATATCGTCCGAAGGAATAGAACGAGCGGAAGAAACGTCGCCGTCATTCTGTCACCGCTTCCGTGATGCATCGCTGCTGGATGTTCTTCTGAAACAAACGCTATGCTAAAGCAACAAAAAAAAGAAAAAGAAAAAGAAAAAAAAGAAAAAAAAAGTTATCGTTTACCATTAACTATGTGCACTCGGACGCTGTTGGGGTGAGTATTGTTAGGCGAACACGTGTAAAGTCCCGAGTCTTCCTGGATGGCCTTTTGAATGAGCAAACGGCTCGACGTGACGGGTCCTTTTTCCGTGATCAGGCTAATGCCGCCTCTCGGCGAATCGAAGTTAATCGCCTGTGAAAGAGAAAGAGCCAGAGGGAACAAGATCTCCTGTGGTGGCATTAACCTTTTCACCATTCAACAAATTTCCCATGAGCGTAGCTTTCCAAAATCTTACTTTGTCAAATAGGTTTTACCGATTACAAAATAATCGTCTAGTTATTGCACTACATTTATTAGTGCTAAATCGAACAATCTCATTCCATAGTTTGTTCTAAAAGAGATTCTTGAAAGATATTCAACTAAAAATACGGTCTAATTTGAAAGTTCGTTTTCAAATTACACGTCACTCAGAAACTCCTCAAACCGTATCCGTTCACTTGCTCCGCATCTAATTCAGATAATCTTACCGTAATCCTATTATCTTAATGTCTAGCTCTCTTGAGAATGCTACAAGCTTTAGATTCCATTATTCCCGTGCACCTAACAGATGCCTTCGAAAGTACAATAATACTCTTACTAATCTTTAATCGGCTTAATAGGTTTGAGAACCTCTTGTCGATCGAGTCATATCTTTCGTTAAATTATCAATAACAATTCATAGATACCTAATCAAGGAAAAAGTCTCCAATTGTAATTATAATATTTTCTATTCTCCTACCTGTCGATTATGACTCCAGATTATCGTGGACGGTGGTTCTGGAGCGTACCTTACGAGACACGTGAGATTTATCGTACTGTCTATGTTGATGAACAAATCTGGACCTCCTGTAATTTCAGTCACTGGTTCTGAAAGCAGAAAACAGACAAATTTCTTCTTTTTTTCGGTTTTCAATTGATTGTTAAAAGAGGAAGGACAAAGTAGAAAATAGATTCTTTTTTCATGAAGAAAGAATTGAAGAATTCTATTCTTGTTGGTTTTCTTTTCGAACAAAGGCGATCCTTCAAGATTTCTTCTATTCCTTTTTTTTTTATTTATATTCTAAGATAAATCAGTGTCAACTTACACACACACACACACACACTAAGGTGTAGAAAAAATAGGTAAGAAAAATAAATGAAAAATTATAAGTCTGGTATCACAAGGTTTTTTTACCTATATCCCCCCTACAACAACAATGGAATGGAACTGACCAATCCAAATGAAATATTTAGAAAAAAGTTTGCTTCGATTGGTTATACCCCCGCTAGCACTCGAATTAAGAGATGATTCATGAAATAATCCCCAGCTCGAGTATTATCAACATTCCATTTCAGTAGAAGAAAATATTCGAAGCTTAAAAGACCGAGGTCCACTTTCGTAAGTAAAACAAACTTTTCTAATTGTTAATAACTATAGATTATAAATCGAAAACATGTGCACTAATATATACTAATTTATAAAGCGAATCTTTGTATATTTCGCTACCTAATGAAACACTTGTTAATCTTTCTAAATATTTAAAGAATAGAAAGTTGCATCTCTTAGTAGTTTCCTTTGGTGAATGCATCTTTTGAAATTCAGTGTTCTTCTTCTTCTTCTTCTTCTTCTTCTTCTTCTTCTTCTTCTTCTTCTTCACTTGTGTTAATAAAAATCTAAAAAAGCATATTTCATGAATGGTTATAGAATTGATTAAAAATAAAACTACAGTAATAACTGTAATTGGGTAAAAATAATATTAAAAAATGACTATTTATTGGAAATAGTTAACGCTTACCGTCAATAATATCTTGTATGGTAGAAGATTACGTGGTTATTAGACCATGCGTTGAATGAACTTCTCTTTAATCTGAAAATCATGTCTATAGTGAGTAAAACGAAAAATTAGTAACTATCAAATGTACTTGTTAACAGTTTACTTACCTCGCAAAGAATCCACATAAAAAATGTTTTTTATAGTGTGCATGCAGTAGTCTTATAATTATAAGATCGACCAACATTCTACACTGATTGGCATTACCATCCTGTTTACTGCAAATATGTACTTCCATAACATGTATCAGCAGAAATTGCAAAGCAAATTATGTTTTGCTTTTCCTATGAAATGCCTTTACGATTCGGGAAACGAACTGAAAAGAAAAAAAAAAAGGAAAACGCTAAAGAAATAAATCAAGCAATAAATCAAGAAAAATAATGAAGAAAATAATCAAGCAAAAATGACGTTTTCTTTTGGTGTTGTGGGACAAGTGAATTAACAAAACAAGTGTTTCAACTAGAAGGGTGCAAAATCAACTTGACCAATTGAATTATAGAAAATTGTGATTTGTGTAAAATAGTGACTTTTTACTTAATCGCGATTGTCGTGAACGAAAACTCAAACAACAAAATAACTCGAATAGAAAATAATAATAGATCGATATAGAAGTTTATAAAATCTACCGGACCGAAATACTTATTGAAGGCTTTTGAGGATTATTTGACCAATCGATAGGCAATTGTCAGCCTACTGTAGTTAATCTTCCTTCTATGCAGCGAGTAGGAATGCGTTTAATTATCGTTCTCTTGTGCTAATTTATGGATTGTTAAGGCAGCTCGATGAGATTAACTGTACTTTCAGTCGTCGCATCCTAGACTAATCGCTGTTATCAACCAATGCGATTGATCCTTTAGTGTAAAGAGGTTCTTACTCAAATGCCAACCGTAATCGACTAAAGATCAGTACGACCCCGAATTCATTAAGAATTCCCTTAATTGATGAATACCCATTTTCAACGACAGTCAATTGCACGCGTACTCGCTAAACAAAATAACAAATTGACCTTATACAAATTTATTTGCTATTTCATATTTTTCATAAATTCCACTAAATGATTTCCACCAATTTCCTAATGATTTTCAATTTTACAATTCAAATTTGTAGACGCAATGGAGACGCAATGTTACTGAGTTACCAACACAGATACAGGTACAGATAAACAGACATGAGAATTACGACGAAATCTGGAAGGAGCAACGCGGTGGAAAATGATGATACGTTCGCTTTAGCGTCAATTGCTTCATTGTTTTTCGTGGCAATTTCAAGTTTGTAAAATATGATGTTTAATTGATCGAAGCTTGCACGATTATACATAATGTTGCTAGAAATCTAAAATACAGGAAAGGGATTAAAGGAAACTTAGTGTAATTTGCAATAATAATGTTATTTGAAATCATGCTTGACAATAGAAAATATCAATGTTTGAGAAACATTTTATTGATTAGATAAGACCTTTCTCCAAAGTTTGGAGCATTTGATTATCTTAATGGTTTTGAATAGAATTCAGGAGATTAGAGACAAAGATTCGGATATCTAAATGAAGAAGATTCGATGAATTCCATCCACCGTAATGAATTAATTAGAATCGATAAGTTGATAGATAAACGAGAATTCGAATGGAATGTTTCCTTTTCAACGATCAAAGGTGAATTTGCTTAGTCAATTGGATAAGTCAAATTTGTGTAGAAACTCTTAATAATAATTAATGAAGAATTTGAGCAGTTTCATAGAATATCTTAAATGGCATTAACAGGAACCGAAGCTGAGAGAGACCTTGGCAACTTGTCAATTTTCAAGCAAACTCGATATTTTCTTCCCCTATTCGTGACTTTCCTTTTCTATCGAATCGTTGTATCTTTAGGAAAAGCAATATAGGAAGGATATATTCCTCGAAAGGAAATGAAGATCTCAGTCGACTATGCAAGGGAAGACAAGCAGTGTGTGTCAGTGAACAGTGTGTGTCGGTCAGCAAACGAAGGAAATTTCCCTACGAATCCCCCTACGAATCCCCCTACGAATCCCCCTACGAATCCCCCTACGATTTCCTTTCGTTTACTTTTCGACCGACCGAAAAGTATTAAACGTGCATCCTACGTTATCGCATTCGCGTTGTGGAATATCAGGAAATAATATGCGTTAACGTGGTAAGTTATCAGAAAAGCCATACACGCGTTAGCTCTCTCTCTCTCTCTCTCTCTCATGATCGTGGAATCGGGTTAACGGGGTTTTCGGTGCAAGCGACGAGCTATGGTTCTCCTACGTTATTGCACTATTGCATTGCATCGCATCGCATCGCATCGCATCGCATCGAAGACCAGAGGAAGTTCGCTCCTACATCCAACTCTGACAGATTCTACTCTCGCGTTTCCCTATCACGAGAATTCCTCCACCTCCATCTATCTACCTATCTATCTATCTATCTATCTATTTACCAATAATAATTTTCCGTTGACATTTCTCATCGACAGAATATCGATGATGAAACGTCCAGGTAAATTAATTGAAGAACCATGATCAATGAATATCAAATCTGATACGGTTAGATTAATATTTAATGAAATCTTAATTAATTGACGATACACAACTCAAACTTTCTGACTCGCTTCTTAATATGTTTGCTAAAAGATAAAATAGAGTTGTTATCGGCGAGGAAATGTTATTTATTTTAGAAAAAGATCCCATGGCGTTAAGTTAAACTCTGGTCGAGGGATAGGAAGCGTCGTTAACGAGGTCAAAATGCTCGATTCGGGACAACGTAAGATCTCCCTCTTCTATCTATAGGAAGCTTCGAAGCACTTTTGGCTTGGACTTCTCGCGAAGGGAACACTTCAAACATCGAACTGCCATTTACACAAAAGCCATTTACACAAAGGACTACGTTGCTGACGTTAAGATCCTTACTTGAATATATATATAATGCGCTACCTTCTTCAACTTTTGACTAAACAAAGAGAAAACAGGATAATGAAGAATTTTGTTTGCAATGGACAAAGGTTTGTCGATAATCGTCGACTAATATCGAAAAAAGAAAGTGTTAAAATTGACGTAAAGCCAAGATAACTATGTTGGAAAATCAATTAAAGTGTTTTCCCCTGTCCTCTCTATTTATAACAGAGTAGAACTCGTAACCTCATCAGAGAGAATAATTTTCGGTGGCAGCTCGGGTAACAGGTCCGGTTCCTATGGAATCCCCGCAAATGGATTTTACTTTACCGCACATATTAGTTATTTCTTGTATAAGAGTTGGTGCAGTATTCGACAAAACTCGTCAACTTTTGTAGTTCTGGGATATTGCGAAAGAGAATTAGAAGTGTGCACTTGCTCTATGATATTTTATCCAAACAATTTGTTCAATTGCTTACTCTAAATATTATAATAAATGCACATTTAATGTTAGTAATATAAAAATAAAATGTGTGTGTGTGTGAAAGTATAACTATTGAACTAAAGCAGGGGAGAAACGAAATGGGTGGTGGTGGTGGTGGTGGTGGTGGTGGTGGTGGTGTTGGTGGTGGTGGTAATGGGAGGTGGTAGGTCGTCATCGAGATTTTACAGCGAACGTTCGATTTTATAATCAACGATAAGCGTTAGCCCACATCGTGGAAAGATTTTCAATCTTTTTATAGATCGCCTATTACGACCTATAAAAATTCGAAATTTGTTCTTTTGTAAAAGTGCTGATATCTGCACGCTTGGTCAAAACTTCCGAATAGTTGAGAATACCATATATACGTACTATAGATAAGGTTTCAAGATAGATGGAAAATTTAGCAGCATTTTTCACATTGTTTTTTCATTGAATGTTCATTGAATTTTCATTGAATTTTCATTGAATTTTCACGGATGAAATTGTTTTCTCAAACATTTCATTCTCTTAAGGAAAAGAAAAAAGGAGAAAAAAGAATGCACAGGGCATATGTTCGTTTGCTCGTTGCACGGGTTCCCTTCCGGTCGAAAAGTCTCACGATACCATACATTGGACCTTCCGCAAATTCTCAATATGGACATCCTTTATTTTAGTTAAACCGTCTGGAAAGAGCCTTGGCATTGGTC